TAATGTTGAACAAAGAAAGAAACTGCTATGACAATGGCGTGCGAAGGATATATACTATCGGTTAAGTATTCGATATCGATCACGATCGATTCTCGCCAGTCGCAAGAAATAATCGATCGATCGGATTGAAAATTTCGACCGATTAATGGCTGAGGTTGTTTGGTATATTAGAAAGGATTCGGTAAACCGATAAGCAACCTTGACCAATATCAGTATACGTAATAAACTGCTTCAGCTAATTACCAAATAGCTCTAAATGTTTCTTGGAAGCAGAATTTTTCGGTAAATAAGTAACGTTTGTTATGGTTTGTAACGATGCAAAGAAATATTTTTCTGTAAACTTTCCTGTATTTCATTGTAATTGAAAAAGTTCGCGGTTAGGTGTAATTACGTGTCAGTAAAACAGATATATCGTCTTTTTATTAACATAGTTCGTTAAAAAATATGAATGTTCTCTTCCATGATCTTTCTCGCTATATTTATTTTCTCCATAATTTTCATATTCCGCATCGGTTCACGCTTAACCTTGCGAGTATTATACCTTCTTTGTCTTCTGTAACTACGTTGGTCGTCGGTTGTGTGTCATACCGTTGAATGCAAATGAATTAAAGAGACGGGACGATTTCGTAGATCGGGAGCGGAAGAACATTAGGAGGAGAGACAACGTAAATGGCGAGAGAACGCGTCGCCATGGGTACCGTGTGTTGTGGCTCGCGGGTGTAGTGCGAACCCCGTAATCGAAGGGAAGAGACAAAACTGAGGGACAGAGATCACGTGATAGAGGAAGAAAGGCGAAAGAGTGAAAGGCACGGGAGAAAAAGAAGGAAGATATAGAACGCGTGGACAAGCGTGACCGGCCAAGACTTCGAAAGGCTACTCTCTCGTGGCCGTCACGTCGAGGAGAGGGCAGCGAGAGCCGGGCAGAGAAAGAGGGAGAATAATGCGGACTCGTTGCTTCCGCCTTCATCAGCAGCACGTTCAGATCTGCTCGTAGTAAGTACAGAAAAATCAGTATCCTTCGCGTATCTGACAATGCGTCCTTGAGGCTACCGATCTTTATGCAAATTCAAATTTTTATGACCATGATCAAACAAATGACACGACCAGACTGTAGATAGCTATTCTACAATGGCTACAAAAAGTATTAGGTCGTCCGGAAAGTTTCTTTCTTTTTGTAAGGTAATGATGGATGCACAATATTTTCCGTTCTATATTATCTTATCGAATCACTTATGATTCATTTCGCTCTATCAAAATAAACATCACAACGTTCGACGGATTAGGTTTCATGTTTGTATACAGATGCATCGTTGTGAAAGAAGGGTCAGTGAAAGAACGACACTTTTCGGACGACCTAACACTCGCACACCATTGTACTTACTGTAATATTTTCATACAGTCAGTCTCACTAATACTCGGACGCTTTCTTAAACTATAGAATAACGTTTTTTAGAATTGGATCGAACAACGAGTCTTTTTTTGAGAAATTAGGAGAATTAATCTATCAGATGACGCGTAAAGAAACTTTGGAAACGTTGCAATTGGTCGGAATGACGAAAAATGAAATTTTATTTCTTCTAACTGCTCTTCGATCCGAATCTACTAAAGAGAAAATTGCGAAAAGTAAATTTCAACGACATTGCAAATTCCTCTCGAATACTCGATTCACAGTTTATTATACGCATGCAAACAACGTGAATACAGTATCGGTAAACAGAGTGATTTAAGTTTAAGGGTCTCGTTAGACTCGCTTCGCCGAGTCCCGACCAGGTATCTAAGAAACCGTTCGACTTGGTCTCTGTATATATCGAGTCAAAATGCTTCCTTGGACGAAATAAAAGTTAAAAAATAAAGGTGCGAACCACGAGAGCAATTAACCACAAAGTTAACCGCGAGTATCTGTGGTGAAAAGAGAACTGGATGCATGTAAATGATCCCGATATATTCAAGGATGTTTCCAGTTGGTTCTAGTCGGTCAATAGAAAGTACAATACAGGCCGTGACAATTTGCTATAAACCGTTACGACACGAGTCTTTCTATCTGCATATCTTCTTTGTGATCGATAGGTCGTATTAATGCTAGAGCTCGTAGAACTCCATAGTGTCTCTAGAGTGTCTTTTCGCACTTCATTTTTTATTTCTTTGGTACAAGCTTATACTTTAGTTGTTGGTAGTTGTAGCGTTGAAATATGCGAGGTGTTCAACTTGTAGCAGTACTTTAATCGAGAATAGTACGAAGGTACGATAGTATTCTCTGCATAATTTCTAGCGTCTTAGCCTGAGTAGTGAATTTATGTGAGCAACGAAAGAGATCAAAGTTCCCCTATATCTTTTTTTATTTTATACACAATTCTCGATGCATTATTTTTGTTAGTCTGGGTATTCCGACGGAATTTAAAGTGAATCTGTGGCGTTGTCACGGAATAATGTCCAATTTTCAGATTTAAAGGACTGTGAAAAGGCAGCTAAAAGGCGAAGAATCCTCTTTATTGAAATTCTGTATGAAGAGAGTCGTCAAATTAACGTAATTGGATTATTTCAAGTTCATGCCTTGAATGGCGCGTTAGGAAAACGTGAAAAACGAGGCTTTATCAAAGCAGCAATTTTCTTTGATGAAACTCGACCTGCTCCGCTCGAGTGCCACGTACGAGAGGAAAAGAAAATATAAAAAGTCTTTTATAGAGTTGCTACTTCTAAAGAAGAATTTTGATTCTAAATTACTGCGTCTCTAAACGTCTCGTTTATTTAATTAATATAGGGGCACAAAATATAGGAAGAAACGTTTAAATTACTTGTAACGTCTGTATTACGGCGAGCGTGTTTATTTTAATCGTACGATTTTTTTTTAAATTAATTTACATTCTAAAAATTATTTCAAGATACTTCGAAACTCGGAATTAAAGCGATCGTTACTGGTTCTGCCACGGGCATTTCGTAAAACGTTTTGTAGCGTTTTCTCTCAGTTCGCATTCAAGGGTAATGTGATTAAGGCGATCCAGGACTTTAGCGACCTTTTAATTTTTCAAGAAATGAAACTCCCGCGAATCCTTAGGATATAATTGAAATTTTAGAGTCACAAATTTCATTATGAAACGTTAATCTGAAGGCGAGTTGGCTTAATTAAGCCAGTAGCATTCTACAGATAGCGAGCCACAAGTTTCCGACACTTTGTCACGATATTTTATTCGAGAGACCTTTGTCTCATTCCATCTATTTTCGAAAAATTGTCGCAACGCGCGCGTAAAATTCTTAGTTTTATAAAACATTGCAACAAGATGACTTTACATTTGTGTCGAACTTTATTCGAATATTACGCCGATATTCGGAGGAATGGACCAAATGGATTTGGAATATTTGTTTCGATTCCAATCACGTGTACCTGAACTTCAATTCTCGTGCAACGAAAACATGGAATACATGGAATTATCGAGGGATCGCGTTCGTTTTGCATAGATAGTCTGTGTTCATCGTGGAGTTGCATGTGAACGATCGGACATGGATTGGCGAGCGTGTAAATGACGTTAGAAAGTTGCGAAAGAAGCAGCTGACTCATCCGCTTTTTCTCATCGTTGCGGAACGATTCCGTGGCCGTACACGTATGTATACATTATATATGCAACACTCAATGAGAAAATATAGGGGAAGTTTATCGTGTTAGCAACTGCATCGAAAGCGATAGCGTGGTCAAAAGTTTCGACCGTGTTTTAAACTCTTAGCGATCGTCGTAAACGCGGAGATTAATAGTATGGCGATTAAACGTCGTTAACATGTGATGATCTTATCGTGGGTGGGTTGTTTCAGCTAGAAGCTTTATGCAGGGTGTTGTTTCGTGATGGATTGAGTACAAATACTTGCAAAAAAGTGCGAGCTTACGTGTGAGCGTATTACGAGCGAAGAATGAATTTATAATATTTTAATGGAATTTTAATGGAATTTTAATGGAATTAAAATATTATAAATTGCGGAGTTTCCTGAAATTTCTAGGAATATTCCTTCGAGGTTTCGATATTATACTAATGGAGATTTTGTTGGACTATATTTATTGTTAAATCATAAATAATTGAACTTGCCCCTCGCAAATAATGTAAATATTATATAATAATATAAAATATCCTTCTCCAAAATCTGCATTTACATCGATAATATTTTCGAAAAGTAGCATTATGCGAATGTTGTAACTATTAAGTAGTTAAACGTAGATTTGCATATTTAAACCAAAGAATTTCCAGCAGAAATTTTAATATAATCCAATAGATTCGTATTTATCTTTCCGATTTTTTCTTAATATTTGTTGAATATTTCCAAGCTTTTGAAGTTCTGTATCTTCGTCATCGTCGAAATCCTTCTTCTAACCTTCGTTTATCGTTATCAGATAGAATGGTTTTATCACTGATACAAAAGTGTCAGCTGTTTAATCCATGAAATTATTCTCTCCTCGCTTTCTGTACAAATGTCGCGAAAATCGAACTCGAATAATTTACGCTTCTGTTTATTATATTATATGAATCGTATCTGATAGGCAAAAACTGTTTTTACGCCTTTTATTATCCTCGTTATAATTCCTGTTACTTACTTCTTTAATTCTAAACCTAATAGCATCGTAAAATCGAATCTTTACGTTTACTTGTGACGCTTTTACGAGTGATATTAGCAGCTAAGCATTTGTCGGAATGTTTTATTAACTGGTATTGCCTGTACAAACAATCAATCGCGATAACGACAAGGAAGAAAAGGAATACCTGCTTGATAAGCTCTGTTCGATTCTGATTCATATGCACGTGGTAGCATATAAATTGCTCGATAATAAACGACATATCGAGTTAAGATAAATTATTGCACTATAAAATATAGATTGCGAACTGTAAATTACAATCCTAAATTATTCTCTCTCGTTTATAAACATTTTTGAACGTGTATCATCAAAGGTATTAATCGTTTTAATTCTATAACTATGAGGGTACGAATATGTATTATAGAATACAGATAATAATGCAGTAATATAATTTAATATTTTTTGTGTTATAAATAGCGTAGTATAGTATTTTGTATTGCTTGCAATATACTCGAATATTGTTCGTTCGAGGACCATTCGAGATTTAAGTCGTAGAGATTGTCATATTAATTCTTGTCTCGGATGCTGCTCGTGGTATTCGTCGACCGGACCGAAAAGTTACGGTATCTGGATATGTGTTGGTGCATATACATAGCAGGAAAGTTAAATTTATGCAGTTACACACGGAAAGTCCCGTTTTAATCTCTGCTGATAAATATCTTCGGCTTAGTCCAGCGAATACAAGATTTCGACTCGCCAGCAACGTTTACTTCTTTCTCCTGCTTGGTCCTTTGCGATCCTTCAGTATGTGTGTGCATATATTCCAGCGTATGGATCTAAAAGCAAAATGGTATGGTAGGAAGTGCATGAAAAATGCAGTTGGCAGTTGGAATATTGGATTCCTATAATTCGTAGTTTTCGAGCAACTGTGTTTGTCATAGCGAGGATGTTTACTCATTTATCGGAAATTTAAAATTTTTATTCGGGCAAACATAGTGCAACGTATTTTCTATTTTTTGAAAACCATAATCTTCAAGTAACATCAAGCTTTTACGTTATTTTTAGAAATACTTCTTAGCGTAGGCGCAATGACCGATTAAAGATTCATTAAGTCGATGTGTTTGAGAAAATCCTATGGTTATAAAAGAAGTAGGGACGCGTCATTTCGAAGCAATGTATGGAATGCATTCTTCGTCGTCCTTCGCGATCCTTTTGTTCAATTTCTTCATTATATCCTAGCCATAAAATTATTCTATAACGAACATAACTACCACTGCACATTGCACCTTGTAGTAAATAAAAAGACAATTCAGAAAACTAGCGATAAACGTACGAAGTATTTTGTAGATTTGAAAAAAGTATATACATTCCACGAATCGTTTGTTTTATCGATTACCTTGTCTCTATTCCATTTATTAGTTAATATCGCTTGATCGTTATTCCAATAATAACGACTCTTTTAATAGCAAACTGCATATAAATCCAAGTATCAACATATCATACAATAAAATAATATTTTCCTGTTCTAATGTGATATAAACGTAGTATATTCTCAGTGGGTTTCTAGTAGCAGACTCTCCCATGCCATAATTCAACTTGTCTGGGGATAACAACAAATTAGAAAAATTACCGTCTGGCTTGTACGTGGTCTTCTTTTCTCCTCGACGATGTCCCTTCTCTTTCATTCTTTTCCCTCGCTGGTGCCGCCGGCTGGTGCGTGTTTCCGCCGTATTTTCTCTGACATACCTCTGCGTACACACGCTCCCACGTCACGCGTGACACTCTCAATGACCCACGCAACGCACGAGGCCCGTACTATCATAATGTTTCATTTCTGATCCTGTAAGTTACTCGGTTCTCTCCTGATCGTTGATTCGCCGCGATAGTCGAAAGTCGTCGCATCGAACGAAACCCGTTAACCCATTAAATCGTGCAACACGCACCAGTTAACCAGTCGCTTAGATTACTTATCTCTGGAAGATAATTTTTTGAAAAGCTTTACATAGGAATTCACTTTATTTTTTATTTTTAAAGAAAGATTATTTGCCAGAACTTGGAAAAGATTCCACGGTTGAAAGAAGCCTCACTGATCGTATAATTAAATATTTTGAGAACGGTCTCGCTGCTGAGCAGCAGTTAAAGATAGTCGACGCACTCTGAATCATCGTACCATTAATTCTCATGTTTTTCTTCTGTATCGCGAAGAAACACAGGTTAAAATTGTCTCTTTTCATTCTCCAGTTATTCGATTTCCTTTATCAGCCAGTGCCGTGACATCGGCACCGCTATACTTAATTTGTTTACTACATAGTAATTCGTTTCACTTAACTCCAATTAAACCTTGTACAACGTATAGATACGTCTACAAGACATCGTCGCGCACATTCTGTTCCGGTCAAACTCGATTTCGAATCTATCAAAGTTAGCAAGTGTTTCGGATTTGTACTTGGTAGTAAGCACCGGACGTGTACCACCGCAAGTCAAATGATTTAATCAATTTCAGAATTGGAATCCCCGACGAACACGACTTGCTAGTGCGAACAATCCATCGTTGTAACCGGCGAGGTTTCCCATATCTGCTCGCCGTGCCTCTAGAACCGTGGAAATCTCAATTTCACGGTGGAACTCGCACGTGTCTGATTATACAGAGTGTTTATTGCACGCGTATTCGATGAATTCTCATATCCGATTCAGGACTATGCTAATAATGATAATAACGATCACTAGTCGTATTCGCAAAAGTCTGTTCCAACAAATCTCCGCTGACAAGACAATACCAACGTCGATTTCGCAACTGATATGGTACATATACCGTGGAAAATAGCAAATTGCGGTGCGTCGAGCACATTCAAACGCGACACGATAAAATCATTGGCCCGTCCCTCCTTTTGGCCTACTCGTATCGTTTCGATGAATAGCACCATCTTGGCGGACAAAGAGCAACGGGTAGTTGCAACTTGTGTAAGAGCATTAAATGTCAGGTCAAGAGACTGGCTCGCTTGGCCGGATTACGGTTTCAGTCCTTCTACGTATACTTTATTTCACCGCAGACGCTTTAGCGCACCTAGATCTTTGCCATTCTCTGCCGTAGTGCCGTTGCTTGCGCCCAACAATTCCGTACTGTCTCCCATTTAATTGAATTCTGTAGCCGTAGACTGGTACACGTCGGTATTTTCGTACAATCCAGCTTCGAAATGGTTTCAACTTCTCCGTAGAGTTTGTCAACTCGGATTGAAACGCGAGATTCCAACCATCGAATTTGCCTTTAGCGTTTAGCAACTATACGAACGGCAAGTTTGAAGAGACGTTGAAACAATCGAAGAGTCGATTATTGTTTCCTTTGTTGCATTCGAAAATCTCCATACACATCGATACGCTCTGTCGTCGATTGCTTTAGACGAGATGTCTTGACAGTCTCTGCGAGATCTCTCTCAATCTCCGAAGATCTCGTGGAAGATCTGCAGTATAATTAGTGGTAGATAATAGCAGAGTAGAAGACCAACTTTGCCAGTGTTCCAAGATTCGCTAAAATATTTCTCCGTTTTCACGGATTCGCTGTGCTTCTAATTATTCCCAGGGGAGCGCTTATTCGCGAAATCTCGTGATTACCAGGGTTCTAGAACAAACAATCGCCCGGGGATTGTCTCTTTGGTTCGCATTTAACATTGCACGGTGTTACAATAGCGCGCAAACAAACACATAACAAACCACGGCGCACCCAGCTCTGACATTTTCCATCGAACACCCGCCGTGTAATCTCGCGCGTGTATTCCTTACTGTTTCTCAGGATCGTAGGTTCCGTTGCTTAACATTTTCATCCATTAAATGTTATCCGTGCGATTTTACGACCGGCGAACACAGTTGCGTAAATAGCAGCGAAATAAAGTTATAATCTCGCGACTCCAGTGAATGAACGTGTACTACCATTGCGATTTTCATTGGTATCCGCTTCATCGTTCTATTTTTCGCTGTTTCTTTACAATGAGAAAAAAGATACGATCGGTGTGAAAAATATTTGTATAGCGCTTAACTGTATCAAAACTATCGTAGTACGTAGTTTGGTAACGAAATTTTAACAAATAAAGTTTGCAAGTCTCCGGAATGACGTTCAAAAAAAGAAAAACGCGATATCTATTCCTGTCGTGGAAATATCAATAAATATCTAGCAAATGGTAAAAATATATGCGTAATAAGTATAATAAATACAGTTACCGCTTCATTGGATAAAATGACACAGATATTTTCTAAACAGAGATTTTCTCTCTTAGATATTAGGTAAGTTTTATTAATTTTTTACACAGGATTTAGATTACCATGACAATATCAGAATTTCCAGTTTACAGACCATTGGAATCATTTTTTCATATTGTTTAAATCAGTGTCTTTCGCGTTACGTAACGTTCACAGTTTATACGACAGAGAATTAAGAATTAAGAGAACCATTATCCTCTTTATATTTAAGAGTCTATGTTCCATATATAGTATAGTCATTGTTATATCAAAAGCAATCAACGAAGTTGATTTCACCCTTCTTGCACTGGATTCACTTCCGAGAAGCGAGTCGCGATTTCTCGATACGTAATGCCCGGATGCTCGATTCATCGGTGTCTTGAAGCTTACGAGATTCAACAACGAACTGAGGTGCAAACGTCACAACGGCCATGATGATAAGATAAGACCAACCGCGTCACAAAGCTGTTCAACACGTTCGCAGCTGATAGGATTTTTATCGTATGTTAACAAGTAATTCTTTCAAATTTTCTCAATGCTAACATGAAAGCATTCTGCATTCGCAATTTTCCAATTGTCAACTCGTCGATACGCGTATCCGATTTTTCATTTGCACCAATCTCTGCTTACCTTGATACGACAAATGGAATTAGCAAGTTTGCTCAACGTGACTTTCGTTCGAACAGTCCGCTGTACTATATCCATGTTATTTCAAGGACTGTTTCATTTTCATCTTAATGGCAGGTAAAACCATAGGTAAATGTAATGACGATTCAGATTTAGAATGACAAGGATTGTTTTTTAATTGATATAAGACATCTTTCACACGTATGTGTTCAAACTTTGCAAAAACAGACAAGAGATAAAATTAATTGAAACTTTTTTTCGTATCATTCCTATATGTGTTTTTTCTCTCGCGTCTTTGTGATAATTTTATCGATATTATTTGATAGTAAATATCTTGAGGTCGATATCGTCAAAAAACAGCATCGAGATCGTGGAACGACATGATAAATCCATAAAAGAAATTGAAACAATTGTATACGATAATTATATATAATTACATATAATTATTCCCACAAACAGCAACACGATTATTATACAAACAACGCAGCAATACGAATGGAAATGGCTCATTATGCCAAGAATCTGGGTAAAAAGTTTATTCGTGTATTTCACTCTCTTTCTGCCTCTCTCTGTAGAATCTTTCAGAAAGGTAATTGCGAAACTGCATCGAGCTCGGGAACAATTCCAAGATCGCTTCGTTTCGCTTTCCAATCCTAATAGAGGAAATGAACGTCACTTATTAACAATAGAGTCGAGAGACGAGAGGCGTTGAAAACGAATTCGTAATCGGTGCCGGTTACTCGCAGCTGCAAATCGCGCGAAGAACGCCAACGGCTGTTCAATTGAACTCTCGCTTTGTGAGGTTCGGTCAAGTTCCGTGGCACACATTACGTGCCTTGAATCCCGTGCACGTGTCCAGGAGAAACCGGAAGCGTCTATTTTCAATCGCGCGCGTCAACCACGTCCGGCAATTCGCTGTACCAGAGGCGCACAATTCGAAAACAGACTCCATCGTCGATTTACCGTGTGAATATCTATCAGCCTTTAACGCGATCACTTGTTCTCAATTCATCGAGTGACTCGAATGACTGCTACACCTTAAATCATCGAGATAGCGTAACCAGGTCGATCGTATCTCCTTGCTTATCGGATCCATCGATCTATTTTGATGTCTGCATAGTAGGTCGTGATAAAGATCAGGTTTGACTATTTCTTATATATTAGGGTCTTGTTTAAAATTATCTTTGGAGGATTGACATTTTTATGAAAATTTTCCTATGTTGCTTCTAGAATAAAAGGAATACATTTTCGACGATTTATTTATTGAAATAACGAATTACTTCGATTAGTTTCTTATTTTTATTTTAGAAGCACCGTGGAGAAAATAATGTTACGTTTTATGAGGAAAAGACAAGTGGGTAGATAGTTTAAGCAACTTTGTAATTTATGGTAAACCGCCGTAAACGATTTTCTGCAAGTTTTCTTCGCCGTTTAGTCGATATTTTATGAGTCATGACATAAACTTTTTTTCATTCCCCCTTTTTTTACCCGGCAAGCAATTTCTATCAAGCGTCGAATTACCTACTTTTCTTCTTGCTTCGTCCGTTTCTCAATATCCGCTACTTTTAAACGGCATAAACTCTATTGACTAGCACTGGCAAAGATTAACTGCGAGTGAGATCCGAATATTTATGCAGAAACAACCGCAAAATACACAACTGCTAAAATACTCATCGAAATTGTATAGAGGCATATTTCTATTTCGTTACGGAAGTAATTACACTTGAGTAATTTGTCGAAGAAAATTTGTAAGCGTATCTCCGAGCAAAATATTTTTGATATTCGCGATAAAGTTAATGCACTATCGATATTATTACTATCGTGTTTCGCATATAAAACATAATTCGGATTTCGTATCAACGAAACCATAACGTATCGTATTCCATCATTTATTCAGTAGGAACATGATATCGCGTTATCCAGGTTTTCCCAATGCATCATAAAAATGACCATTGCGTAACTCGCTATACCGCAACTTCGCTAGTTTTAGAAAAGAGGAAAAATCGAAGGAAAAAGATTATGTAAAATGAAGCGGAGTGTTCAACGATAAAATGGTGAAAATTAATCGCATGCATGTAAATAGGAAGATTAACAATTTCAACTCTGCATGATAAATTAAGCGACGATAAATGCAAATATGTAAATGACCAGAATGAAGTGGGACGATCCGTTAAAAGCTTCTCTCTACTGCGTGCGACGGATAATAAGCTGAATGAAATGGAACTATAGTTTCTTTCTATTTCGTCTAGTTATTTCATTCTGTATTCTAGAAATAATCGGGATAATGGTAAATCCAAAATAACAGTTCAGTGTGTTCTACTGTGATTCGAACCCGGACCTTTCACTTCGTAGCTAGCTCACGCTACTACTTTGCACAATTAACCTATTTTGGCTGGAAGAATTATACTCTTCGTGACTAACTTTTGAAACCTGATTGCTTTCTACGATTCCTAGACCACCTGATATCACGGTTATTCATCCGGGAAACTTGCAATTTCGAAGTACAAAAATGAGACGCTAATACGAAAGTTTATGAAGAATATTATAAAAACTTTGACTATCAGTCATTTGCAGATTTCTATTCGCAGATAAATTATTAAACGAAACGTTTCGAATAAGGCTTTGCTAGTAACTTTCATAGTTCTAACTCTGGATGTAATAACAATAGTAGCTACCAGCGTTAAGAGAAATTACTATATTTATATAATTCTGCGAATCAACTCGTTTACCGTGTGTAAATTTTCGAACAGAATACACGTGGTTTCAGATCGACGATATGTCTATACTTTGCAATAAAATACACGCTCTACACTCGTCTACGCGTTCATTTCGATCGATTCGTTCAACATTGGGATTAATTTTCCAAAGTCACGCAGATTGGCCGCATCATGCAGACTTTATCGCGACAACTCCGTGACTGGATATCGAATTGCCAATCGTCATTCTGTTACTTCTTACCACGATTAAACCAGATAATCGTAATAACAAATAATAACGATACTCGTGATGCAATTGTTACGATAATGTGTTGATGTTCGCGTCTAATCGATCTTCTTATCAGTCTTTCTTTCTTCAGATATAACAGAGTCATCGCGAAATCGTTATTGCAGTACGAAATGTTAAAGGTTTTTCTATTTCGTTAAGATCCTCTGTTTAATTACATAAACGTGACTTTTTTCAAGTTCTACGACGTTACGCTTTACATTTCGCAACTTTGTAAATTTCCAGTTTTTCAATTCTAAAGATTAATGTAAATAGCAACTTGGTTGTTGAACGGTTGGTCGACACATCAACTAGATACTGTGGATCATCCAGAGCCGAGAACTACGCTCTCAAGTACGATGACTGACTCAAGTTTGCATAAAAGGGGTTGAATTTTTCGATCCTTCTTATGGTGTCCCGTGGTATTTAGTTTGCATAATATATCTCCTATTCGAGTTTTCGAGTATTTACTAGCAAGGCAGTAACGCAAAATATGATATAAATTATATTTTATCACCGTTTCATTGCTCTATCGCGTCTTATTATTTTATAATCCAATATTTATAAATTATTTATTTCGTCATATAATATCAATGGTACGACGATATAAAGCGATTTGCTTATCTATCGATCGTATTTTCTTATTCTGCGATCAGATATTTTCTTTATTATTCAAGTAATTTGTGTCTTTATGAAGATATTATTTCGCATTATCAAACAAGTTACTGTGTGAATAGATTTTTATAGAAGGATGTAAATTTCAATGGTAAAAAAGTTATTTGCTCACAAAAGAAGGAAGATCGTTTAAAACCATTTGAAAATTTATTGCGACACAATACGTACGACGTCGATCCATGTATAACAACACGCTTGTCTTTTTTATCACCAACAATGTGGAAATCTTATTCCGCATTGTTAATGTGTTACGAACGACTAATGTACACATTTGTTTGACGCTGTTCTTGCAGCTGCTTGACAAGTTGCCGTATAATGCGATTCTTCGCGTTAGCTTTTAATCTGCGCAGAGATTTTTACATATTGTAACAATTGAATTGCAGCTTCCGTGTTTTCGAACGTGTCAACATCTCCAATGCTTGCATTATTCTCTTTTGGCTCGTTTTGTTAAACGCTCGTTATGTAAAGCATAAATCATTCACGATCAAACTCTGATTACGTGATAAACACGTGACGCAATCAGTTACCGAGTTCGGATAAAACTACTCTGCCACTAGGACAAAAAATTGGACGAAAGATACGAATCGTGGGCAGATACCCTACCTTTGCGCTTTTACTTTAAATTAACGCGTTTGTAAAAAAAAAAAAATAAATGTAAAAGTGTTAGGTTCCATGTAGGCCGTAACTGATAAATAAAATAAAAATCCGGCAGCAAGTTAAAGCAGACACTTCGCATTGTCTACATAATGGATGTGCTGCTTCACATAATGCATGATTCATGCCTTTCAATCTTGTGTCAGTGACTGTGTAAAGAAGAAAATGAATCAATCACGTCCTAATAATATTCAAATGTCATTTTTTCATTCGTTGTATTTTCAGCATCTTTTGGCGCATGAAAAATATCAAATATAAAATATTAGTTGGAAAGTTATTGAGCAAGAGAGCTGCAGTATCCGCACGCTGTGTTCATACGAGGTTCATTTCCCCTCTGGGCCTAGTCTCTACGTTGACCTACACCACTACTTTGTCAACTTTAAGTGGCAAAGACGTTCAAAACCCCAGAAGTACTATCCACGTTCTGAGACACGTTTGTCGATACAATAGTCACCGGGGATATAAATGCGAGTTATAAACTCTTGATCGTATAATGTATACTATATATCGATTATATAGAGTATAGTGATATCAACTTGTGAGTTCTTCTCGTAACATAATGTCATTAATTCTCTATCCTACGTAATTACGGATGGACGCGAGCGTCACTAAATCACTTGCATCAACCCTTTCGCGACCCAACCAAATCGTTGCAAGCTGAATCGGCAGGTTACACTAGCGGTCCGATCGATTATAATTTCCACGTAATTAGCTCGTTCCGCTAATTAGCGCACCGGTCGAAAACAGTCGGAACAGTTTCTTGCCAGAGGTTAGCTGGCGCGAAACACGCCGGCCTGTAATTAGCAAGATTTATCAGCCGTGACAAATCTGCGGGACGATTACGCGTTGCGATTAATCAGACGATTCTGGTAGCCGTGGAAATATTCGCGGAACGATTTCCACGGACTCGCGCCTCGTTACCTGGCCCGCTCCCAGACAACAATAACCACACGACCACCGTATGAATAATTCTCGGCGAGCGGATCGCGCCGTTTTGCAATTGGCCCCGCGCGACGTAATCTCACAGGCTTCTTCTGACACAATGCGTTCCCGGTCCCTCGAACGGTATAACGTAACGTTTGCGAGTGTACGTGCGTTCAAGAAGGAGCGAAAGTGACGAGATTACGAATCACGAGGGAAGAAGCCTTAGCAAAACGGCCGTGAATGATTTTCGTACGTTGGGAACGTTGGGATCGATCGAAACGTAAGAGAAGTTGGTTTCCAAGGTATAGCAGATGGCACGGTTCGCGTTTTATAGTAAGTCGATGAACAGACTGCGGAATTTTATGCCGCGAGAAGTTTGTAAGTACAAATTTGTCGAAAATGGGATATATAATTTGTTATAGTATCTAGCAGATGAGATAGATCAATCTGTATTTTATTCCCCTTCTGAATTTATGAAAGTGGCAAGTCCCGAGTAAGTCGTCTCTTAACAAAAGTACGTCTTTTGGTTCAATTGGAAATCTTTGCTTCTATCGCTTACATCGTTTACAGGTATTAGTCCAATGTGAATTTCTTGCGAATTTTCGTACCAGGGACTCGCGGTTTTCGATCGTTGGCGACTTTGACAGGGAGTGAGCAAACGGGCGGGGCAAAACGAAACGTCGTCGTTCGACGACAAACAAACTAAAACAGCGTAATAGGCGTCATTGTTCGAAAAGGCGCGACAAGGCCGTGGTTCGTCATTGGATAATTGGACAGTGACAGTTGCACCCGCGGCAGATATTCGTATTCATAGCCACGCATGTTTCTCTGATGCAACGCTCTTCATGGAATAATGGCTCGAAACGATTTCGAACTGGAGCCACCAGCGCAACACTCACAACAA